TGGCTTGCTTTTTGTTCCAATTTGAGAAAATACGCTGCAGTTTTTCTTCATTAGCTGTGTTGGTTTGGGTCATTTGCTGTCCCATGCAGAGTGATTAATACAGGCAGCACTGCCTTGGTTAAGGCACACTCCAACCAAGCATCTGTTCAGGAAACAGAAATGCGACTAACCCCCCATCCCACTGCAAACTCTGAACGTTACATCCCATCATCAACTCGGAGCTGAGTTGGAACACACTTTATAGTGATGTTCTTGCTAGTAAACATGTGTGGTTCAAACACTTGCAGGTAGCAAACCACAAGGGCGATGAACTCCCTTAAATCAGAATTAATTCCAAAATTTAAATTAGCATTTCAACCCTTCTCGGTGCTCTTACCTCCAGTAACTCCCCTTCTGCCAGAAGGAGCCGGCGCAACAGTTGTGCCCAGTTACTGTGGGAAACACAAACTAGGAATTGTGGCAGAAAAGCATCTTACATAACTGAAGATAGTCTCTTTTCTTTGCTCCCTTTTAGGCAAAGCTCATAAAACAAAAGACACTAATTTGCGTTCTGTTGTTTCCAGGGAACCAACGCGCACACAAGTCCCTGCAAACCCATTCACCCAACCAGGGCTTTTGCAGCCGATGGCTTCTCATTAAGCCTGCAAGAGCAGTACGAAAGGAGAGGGGAAGCAGGACAAGAAGACAGTTTGGCTTCTGTGACAAACAGCAAACAGCCTGCAGGCAGTGGCTAAAGTATATTAAACCAATGTTTCATTATGCAGCAATAGCTAGGACCCTCAGGCAGCGAAAAAGTGAGGAACTGCAGCACTTTTCCCCTCTGCTGCAGTATCAAAATACCGTATTTCTTTGCCTCAGCTTCTCAGCAAGTACTGAATCTAAGCAGGCAGCTTCAGGAAGGGCAAACCTACACTCCAAGACAGGTTGCAGCATCCCTTACCCAGCAAACGCTATTTGTTTGGTCCCTTTAGCTCGTGGGAGCAGACCGCTCCTCACCAACCTGACAGTGTCAGGGGCCTCACCGCTGAGTTTGCCCCCGTTCGGTTCCACGCAGCCCGCTCCTGTCAGTCGTCTCTCAACCCTGGTTCAAAAAGCTCTTCCCACGTAAAACCCTCCAGGTCACACAGGGTTCTTGGACGCAATGGGTAGAAACGTGAACTCCCGCAGTTTTAACCTCGAGTGTCTAAAGCTGGGGAGGGATTTGCTTTTGGGTCTTGCGTGACGGCGGGGGTTATGTCTTTCTGTCGACCCTGATTTATTGTAGTACATGGCTTCATGGTCATTCCTCCTGTTACCCTGATGAATACTGAAAAAATCAATTTACTAGTCACCATTTAACTCTGGCATTTTCACATTTTTGAGGTAACAGTGCCCTATTCTAACAGTACTAGAAACTCAAGCATTTATTGTGAGGAAGCGAGGATTCAAATGGGAACGCATAGTCTCGAGATGTCTCCTTACAGCAGCTGCTTTCAGAAAAGTTCTAATCTGGCAGTGGACAAATTCAGCTTTGGTCCCCAAACCGTCAGTTGCTGATGGCTGCTTGCACACATGCTGTGTGCTACGTATCCTCTGAGCTGAATCGAGCAGTCAGTACCAACCCGAAGGATTTCCTAGACACGGGTCTGGGGCTTGAAAGACGCTCGACCTGAGGGTTTGAAGCATTTTACAAATTAGTTTCATGTTTCCAAAAGGGAAGCCAAGGCACAAAGTTGATAAAACTGTTCTAGGTAATGTCTGAAACCACCATCAAGACCACCTGCCTCTTCTTGTTCCAACAACTTCCTTCCCACCGGCACTGCTATGCATACCGCGGTAGCTGAGAAGCGCTCTGGTGCCTTCCTGACAAGTCATCATCTGCACGTTATTGTTCACACACGACTGCTGCTCCAGCGTTGCTGCAAAACTGCCTTGGAAGCAGAACCAGAAGCATTTAGCCAGCTTTATCAAAATGTCAGAAATCAGACAGTTTCAAAATCTCCAGGCGTTCTTGACATCACAATTCCTGTAAGGCTGCAACTGAGACACTTCCTACGTGAGAACTCGTTATTTACATATGTATATAAATAACTCGTACCCGTATTGCTTTATTTTTTGCTTATGTCCAATTAAAATGAAGTTAAAAAACTGAATGCACTTCAACATTTGCTCAAGACAGCCGACTAGCTGGCCATTCTAGCGTGGCTTTGTCACGTTACGGGGTTGATTCTGAAAGGCCTCGCGCTAAGTTTTTATTTATTTTGGCCTTGCCAGGATTTCATTGTTGACGTACCTGCACTAGGAACAAAAACGTTCCGTGACATGCTATGCGCTGGGACTGGAGAATACACACGTCAACATCGCTTTACCGAGAAAGAGCGCTCAGCTAACACTGGGGGGTGGGAACGGGACACGGACAACAAAAAACAGACAGTTTCGCTCGTCCAAATCACTCTCTGTTCTCAAATAACTGGCAGGCAAAGACGTATCTGTCGGTGCCAAGTTATATTACAGCCATCAGCAATAAATCAAATGCAAGGACAACGCCACAATATGTGGAGCTACAGTGACTGATGCTACCAAACGTGAAAACAAGAGGCTGCAAAACAGAGCGAGGGTAGAACTTGCACCTCCTTGGGCTGGTTACGCTGGAAGCAGAAGGATGAGGAGCAGCGAAGCCTGTATGCCCAGTTGGGAAGCCGGAGTCCCGGAGTGTTATATCCCAGGGCACCCAAAGCAACGGGGGCGTTGGTGACTGTCGGCACAGGGACAGCAGACGCTCGGCGTAAACACAAGGCAGGTCTAACGTAACCCGGGTGTTTGTTTCAACAAATAAACTCTCGGTAACACCAAAAGCTAGCCAGGGCTGCCACGGTTTCCAGGACACAATCACAAGTCCGGTTCACAACCGACACAGGAATATACGGGATACCTTGGCCAACTTCACCCATGAGGAACCGGGCAGGAGGATGAATGAGCTGGAAAACCAACGCAGGGGGGGCAGAGGCAGGAGTGAAAGACAAAGCAGTTTTTCTTGTGCAAGCAGCTCCCTGTTACAGCCTGCTGCTGCCCCAACAACAGCGACGTGTTCCAGCCACTCTGTTCTGCCATCTGCTTCCCGAGCTGCAAGCCTTAGGTGCAGCATGCACCTGGTACACATTCAGGCCAAGTTTGGCCTACAGGTTTTGCGTAGGGAGTCTAACTGAAAGGGTGCACATCTATACGAAGCTCACAACCACCGGCGTCACAGAAGGAGAGGAAAACCCACATTGCCTATTTGAAGATGAATCTTTGTACTGAATTGGCATAGGTACCCACAATGGAAATAAATCCATTGGAATGGAGCAATCAGGCGTTCTTTCCTCTACAAATCTAAGCTCATTTTGGGGCTCGTTGGGCGAGGAATTAGTTTTTCACTGGGGCGCGCCTTTGCACATCAGTTAGTTCACATGATTCTTATTTCACCCGATCTTTTTTTCATCGCATTTCCTAATCCAAAGAGGTGCAGAGGCTGCTTGATCTGCCCATAATCAACCTGACATCATCCTTCTGGCAAAAGATTTACATCAAAGTCAGCTTCATTCTGTAACTCAGAACACGCTTTTATCGTGCTCTGTCTTGGTCCAATTGCATTCAGCACCATACCAAGACAGCGTGCTGATTTTAACTGCTGAAATAACATCACAGTGAACGTCAGTTGATCCAAAAGGACGTGCTACAGATTTGATCAGCTGCAATTTCATGGCAAGTAATTAATTTGTCTTTGGTAAAATACACATGCTGATCTTCTGGAGAATTCCTTGGGACAGTCCCCTTTCATCCCTGTCCCTGTAAATGAACAACACTTTTTTGCCCAGGAGTTGCATTGGAGTGTCAGACCCTTCTCAAACTGTCACTACGAAACACTCGCCGCCTGGGCTTTTGCAGAGCTCCAGTGAGGTTGCTGTTACCTGCTGACAGGCTTCCAGAGTCTCACTCCAGTTAGATGCTACCAACACCTCTGAATGCAAAGAGAGTTTAGGAATAAAACTCTCAGGTTTTCTACTACTAGGAACAGGTTGCCCAGAGAAGCTGTGGATGCCCCATCCCTGGAAGTGTTCAAGGCCAGGCTGGATGAGGCTTTGAGCAACGTGGTCTAGTGGAAGGTGTCCCTGCTCATGGCAGGGGGGTTGGAACTAGATGGTCTGTAAGGTCCCTTCCAACCCAAACCATTCTGTGATTGACCCTTGTCTTGAGGCTGGCAGTCCCACCCCAAGCACAAGATGCTCCCACGTTACTTGCTTTAGTGATTTTTTTTTTAAGGATTTCCATTTCCTCTATTTAAGTTTCTCATAGAGCCTTCTGTCCACAGACATTGTTTAGAGCCCTTTTGTTTATTAACAATTAGGATTCAATACCAAAACATAGAATCATAGAAGCACAGAATTGTTCTGGTTGGAAAAGACCTTTAAGATCATCGAGTCCAACCGTCAACCCAGCACTGCCAACTCTACCCTAAACCATGTCCCCAAGCACTACATCAACTCGTCGCTTAAATACCTCCAAGGATGGTGACTCCACCACTTCCCTGGGCAGCCCGTTCCAACTCCTGACCACCCTTTCCATGAAGAAATTTTTCCTAATCAAAGTGTGTTGGGCTTTGCTGCATACTCATAGCACCAATACTACCAGAAAAAGGAAAAGCTCTTATGTACAGAAAACAGCAGTGAACTTAAGCCTTACAGATAGTTTTTACGTTGTGAAAAACAAAGAATCCAAATTATCCTCTCATCATTGTCCAGGAAGAGCAACAGCAAGCCTGCTGCAGTCTAAGCACCACGTGAGATTTTTTTGCTTTGTTGAGCAACAGCATCAAAGATTCAGCTCCAGGATAATCAATCAAGAACAGACTCAGCATATCGACAGGTTGCTAAGTTACTAAGTTTGCACATAGACTAAAATGTTTAGACAATATTTTCTCCTTGACTGAGTAGTAATTCTGGCTGTGACAAGGGGAAAAGAAAAAAATCAGACAAGTTGTCGAAACAGATGCCAAAGTTTTTATACCAGGAACGTCATGGCTGCTTTCTCTTTGTGCAATGACATGGTAGTAAAGCTACATGCGTAAACAGCACACAGGGCACAGCCTACGAAGCGAGAACACACTGCTCACCCATTAAAAAAATAAAAATACTTTGAAGCACGGAATTCTGCTGGATGTGCCAAATGTCTTTTAAGACAGGATTCCTACCTACTCACGCCCTCCCTTGGGCAACTGTCAATGGATGGCAGACTCGGCTCAAGAAAAAACATCACCAACTCAGCCAGTACCGAAGGTGTCCTGGAACATCTTCCAAGTCTACTCCCATGTGTAGGCTGGATGTAGTTGTGACAGGGAAAATCACTTTGTAAGTAAGATCTTTCAGAGACAAAGCAAGAACCGCTTGTTACAAGGAAAAAGTCAGTACACCTGTGCAGAAGATAAAGTCTTTTATAGCAGTTAATTTAATAATACAGTTCTAAAACAGGGTGTTGAGCACTCATCTACACAAGAGCACATTTAATAAGCTGGGGAAAAAAAATACCACAGTTCCAGGACATTTCATCAAACTCCAGTCACTCCAAGAGAAGACAACTCTGTGGTGGGAGAATTCTTGTCTACGTAAGCCAAGAAGGGACAATTTTAGGCAGTTCAATCCACAATGGTCTCTTACTTCTTATAACTGGAATCACAAATCCACAGTACAAGACAGTATTAGTTAGGTTAAGTGGTGGTTTTGATAATAAAAATTGGCGAATTCATTGCAGTCCTTTAATAAAGGGATGAAGTCCAGTGAGTGCCAGTTGCTAGGAGCAGAGAAGAAAGGTTCCCATTTTCCAGGTGGATTTGTAAGTTCATATTATTAGAAAAAAAGGTAAGTCAAATCTGTGCAGTTTCTATGCAACCACGTCTGAGAGCACCGAGGCTCCATAGGCTCCATGATAGCTTAATAAGTGGGAGAGGAGAAAAGTCATCACAACCCAAACAGCTCAAACTTGGTGTTTCATAATTGCCTACGTAACTTGTTCTCTTGTTCTGCTCTGGACAAAACTTTTAACTGCAACAAGCTGGCAGAGGAACTTGAACAAAACCTGAGTACATGAGAACACTGTCAGGGAGAGCAAGACCCCGCTACCTTTTGATCTGGTACTGAAGTTGAAACGGCAAAATCCCAACGCTTCGCCTTGTGCCATACGACTTGCTTTACCTTCCAGAGCTCTACTGGTCTCTACCGGGAGGTTCTATTTCCACTTGATAGCTCTTGCACTGCAAGACCGCTGTTCATATCACAGTTCAAACAAACTTGCTAAGGAATCTGGGTTTAATCTTCCCATGGCCAAAAGTACGGCACCTCCAGGTGTAGGGCTGGTTGAATTACCAGGTGTAATTCATGCATCAGCACCGGAGACTTCCTGGCAGCACAGAGTCCAAACCTTCCTCACGGGACATCGTGATCAGCAAGATGTTCCACAAGAAGAATCAGAAGGCCAGAAATCTGATCCAGTATAGTAAGGAACGACACCATCCATCATTTGAACTAGGAATACTGGAAGTTTTGTGAGCCAACCCCATTCTTAATATACTAAACTATACATAAAGATATATATATAGAGATATATATATTTTTTAATTGGAATAAAATACACTGGATTTTGGTTTGCTCATTTACAAGGGAGCTCCCTCCCTTCCCCAGTTAATATGAAATTAAAACCTAGAGGCTGAACGTAAGCTCATTCCCAGCATTCCAAGATGGATATAACACGAGAGGAGGCCAGAAACTGGAAACATGCACTCTGGCTGCAACAGGTCAAGAGGTGAAAGGGAGACCAGATATTTTCATTTGTAACCCTGAGAACATAAGGAATTGCAAATATCCGGAGAAGTGCCTGGGGTTAAAGGTCACCAGGCTTTTTATTGCAGTTGAAGCAAACTCGGACTGGGTGATCCCATCCACGAGAGGCTCTGCGGTCGTGCGAGCATTCGTCACAGAATCCCTGGCCACAGGCCCGACAGTGGTGTTTGGAGAGTTTGATACTGAATTCCTTCCGGCAGTTGTGGCAGTGCAGGATTTCGTGGTCTGGTACCCAGTACGCAGGCCGGGCAGCATCTTTTACCAGACCTATGGAGGAAGCGAGGTGGGGGGGGGGCGAGAAAGAGGGAGAAAAAAATCACCTGTGAACACAACACGTGAAGAAGGTACTCCAGTGGAAGTACTGACACACTGCCAGCCACACCACTGCCAGCAAGGGGAAGACAACCTGCTGACGGTGCAGTGGGTAGCCCTTTTGGCCATTCTTCCACATTCTGCCTCTCTTCAAAAGGACAGATTGTTTCTCCTTAAACGGTGGCATCTTCCCTTGCTCAGACTCCTCCAGAGGTTGAGACACTTGTTTTTCCCTACTTTCTGTTTCAGCTGGGGCCAAAAAAGCACAGTCACCAAACCAAGCATTCAGAATTGCGTGTACTGTCTGAACTGAGAAAGGTATTTATTCTGCCCGTAGCTGAGTGGGACAACACACCCCCAGGCGATGGCAGAACAAGCTGCAGGTGAACAGAAGACTTCAATGCGAATCGTTTGCTGACACACCTGAGCTGCTGCCCAGCACGTGACAGAGCAGCAAACATTCACTGTACTAAGCTCACCATGAAAGAGCACGTTACTGATTACTTTCCCATCATTACCAACCTGGACAGCTTCAGATTCTCAGCCCTCCCTTGCAGAAGTACCAAGTGCTAGCAGTATCCATGAACACACTTAAAATGTGCTCAGCACCTCTGGAAGAAAACCAAACCTGAAAAAATGCTTCCTAATGGGCCAGTCTTTAGGGAGCTCCAGCTGGCAGGTCGCTGCAGCAATGCATCAGGGGAGCATGAATTACTTGCAGGTTGGTGCGCGCAGATTTGCATGACGGAGAAAAGAGAAGGTATGAACTGCAAAAACAACGTGCTGCAAACCAAGAGGAAATGTCAAGCGAGAGAGGTGCAGGGCGCTGTAGAACTCTCAACCAACAGTGGTAGCAGAGCGGAGGTGCACCCTGTCGTGCAAATTTAATCACAAGTTTTGCCCTGTGAAAAGAAAAATGCCTCTAGACCAAAAAAATCTATCAAAAGAGAGCAGAGCTCACCTAAGGGAATGTCCATGGCTGTCACCACTGCTCCGAGGGTGTTCTGCACAGCTTCTCCCACCTTCCTGGCAATAAGTGTCCCCCCTTCCTCATCCGAAGGCAGCTCAGCTACATCTGCACAACACAAGCGTAAAGGGCTCAACACGCAAGTCCAGCGCAATTTCTGCCAAGTTTCAGTTAATTTACATCAGAGAAAACCAGCAGCAAACCCAAAAGGCAGCTTGGGGCCTCTCCTCAGCCTTTATCTCCCACATCTCCAATCTCGGACTGCAGTGTTTTCCCTTTCATTTCAGCAACCATGGACAAAATACAGTCTGCTGTAAAAGCAGCATCCCTGCTCTGATGCCAGCTCCACACCATCAGCAGGTGCCAGGAAAACAAAGTAAAAGACCTAATTAAAAGATAATTTTGTCAGGGAGTCAGATATCTGGTAGCTTGTTATAAGGGCCATCCATCTTCCTGCCAAAAGACAGTGAGCTCTTGAGCTTCCCTACTGAAAACTGTGCCAAATCCCAGTCTGAACAACTCTGCCCACACCCAACGGGAAGGTTGCTATCCAGAAGCCAGGGACAAAGACTTCAGACTAACTGTTGCACAGGGATAATTCCATCACAATCAACTCAAAATTACCTAACTGGATGCCCCTGTTTTCATAGCAGTTGTCACACACACGGACTGGTGCTGGTCCCCAGCCTCGCTCAGGCACTGGACGGGTCTTGGACGAACAGCCATCACAGAAGCCCTCTCCACAGGCCCGGCAGTGATGTTTAGTGTCGTTATCTTTAAAAGGCGTGTTGCACTTATTACAACTCTAATCAGAAAAACATAAAAAGAAAAACTGTTAGCTTGTTCTTCCTTAATAGAAAAATAAGAGAGCAGAATCCCAGGATGGCGAGACTCAGACTGAAATGGTGAAAAACACAGTGACACCCAAGACTGAGCTGCTCCCAGCCCCGTAACTTCACCCTAGGGAAGCGATTCAGACAGTAGACGTACAGCAGTTAAGCCAACAGATTGCTCTGATCCCTTCAAAATCACAAATAACTACAGCCACGTCATGCAGGGCTGAACGGTGGGTATTTTGAGCTTGGGGGGGCGTGAGAATTCAGAAGGAAGTTTTCACTAAAGAAGTATTTGTTTCCTGCAAGACACAGGGAATCCTTTTCTAGTCAAATCGTTGGGGCCAGCTCTTTGCATCTGGTATGAAAACAGAGTTGAATCTCTGCACCTATAAAAATAGTACTAGCAACTGCAGTAGCCAGGTTTGAGATGTCGATTCTTTGCTTTGAAGAGCACATTCATGCAAGCCAAGACTCATGGTGATGCTGCAGGGAGAGGAGGTCACAAAAAACAGGGAGGAAACTGTCTCCTTAGCAGGGCTGGGCAGAGTCTCTGTTCATAATTTCTCTAGCTAAGTCAAGAACGGAAAGAGCTGAAAAGCATCTCAATTTTCTCAAAATTGTAGCAGAAGCTGCAATAAACAGTTTGCTGCAATAAACCAAGAGGCATTTGTAATGTGCAAAACAACCGTATTACTTAAAATGTGAGGAATAGGGTTTTTAGCTGCAAAACTTCTGTACAGCAGCTGCTATTTACCAGGATCTGAGAGTTGGGTCTCCAGTAAGCTGGGGCAATCTGGTCTGTCAACCAGGAGGTCACGGCTTTTGTGGGTCCCAGGCTAAGTTCAGATACTGACTGTGCCATGAAATTCATCCCATCCAACAAACGCTGGGCTGCATTGTTGTTGTCTTTCAGAAATCCATCAGTCTGGAATGAAATGGATACTTATTTGAGAATAAAACCAGGAAAACCTGATTTTTTTTTTTTTTTAGAAGCAGATGGCCCTGCGACCCACCACTCCCGGGAAACTGGAGGGCAAGCATGAGAAAAAAATTCACCAGCCCCCTGCTTTGTAGCACAGGGGCAGGATTTAATGACGTTATCATTCACACAAGGTGTTCATGAACTGGCAACTTAGCCATTTCAAGATATCTGAAAGAGGACTAAAGGCCCTTGCAAAGGTCCTTTTTAACAGCAGATACTGGGTCCACCTCTAATAAAAGCCAATCCATTTTCGCCATCAATGTCCAGAAGAATATGAACGCATGCGTGGCTGCACACCTCCTCAGAGACGATCCAGCAACTGGACTTACCCCTGGCCAGACATGCTCAATTTCTGTCCTCACTACAGTGTTCACAGGATCCTGGTTGCCGAACCAGTACTGTCGGCTGCGGTACACCACCCCACAGTTGGGGCACTCGATCACGTACCTGCAGAGGAGGAAGACGGGTTACCTCGGTGAGGAACTGCAAGTCCGATGGTCCAGGCAGCGTAGAGAGCAGAGTGATCTTAGCTGCAGTACTCACCCTGACCAGGCATACTTGGCAAGGCCCAGCCAAGGGGAGTCAGTGGAAGCAGAGGTTTTTGGCACCACGCTGACCTCCATCCCTCGTTCGTAACATGCCTGTAACACAGAGGCTCGAATAAAACTGCATTCTTGGGAATCCCAGGCTCCAGGTCTTGCAGCTGTTTGGCTACATAAAGCATCTAACTACCATACAGTGGCGTCCACAGCAAAGGAGAGCACTCATCAAAACTGATTTAAAACCAAAACAAAACTCACTCCCAATAATGACATCAAGGAAACATTTCTACAAGAATAAAACCCATGATAGTAGCTAAAAATTTTCCTGTCTCCTGCACACATCCTTCAGGAAAAATTGCTATTACCAAGGAATGGGCATAAGCAAAGAAGAGTAAGGGTGTAGGGGGTCAACATCGCCAGGTCGAGAGCAATTACGCAATTTAGCCAGCAAATGACATGCAGCACGCAGAGGTGGTGACCTCTCCAAGCAAAAACACAAGCTCAACGGGGGTCAGTTTTTCTTGTCAAGGACATGAGCACCTCTCCCTTTTGAAAAAATGCAAGGAAACAGGCACATGCCTGTGGTAGTCCTCATTCATGGGGCCATCCTTTCCTTCTCTATTCTTCATACCTTGTCCTCGTGTCGCTGCTCACCTTGCAAGTGTAGACTCTGTTATCGTACTGGTGAGAGTATCTGCATCGACTTTTGGATTCATGAGGGACTCCTTCCTTTGCATGGTTCATGCTCTTCTTACAGCCACACCTGAGTATGCATAAAGCAAACCACGAGCTGATGCTGTTTGACAGGGGACAGACGTCACCACGAGTTCATTTATGTTCCTACCTTGCCTTTGGATAGGTGTTCTAACCCCAAACCATTTTCACAGCTGCACATGCAGCAATGACACCATCTGTGCTGAAAGGCAGGCTCTCTGGAAGGAGGTCTAGCAACTGTTTCACAGCACAAAGCAGCGCCCCACAACAGTTCAATGCGGGAGATGATCGCTCTAGCCAATTTAAGTTTCACAGTGAATTTTAGGAAGGACTAACCAAGTTTGGAACTTGACCAGCACAGAGTTAACACTGCAGTCTTTGTAAGGGCCTCACAGAAATTCTCTGATGAGCATAAAAGAACAGGAAGGTAGCACTGTATGACATTTGAGAGAAAAATAACATCACGTTGCTATAGCACCTGACAGACTCGGAGCACCGACTGCCATCTACTGCCCTTCCAGACCCAACCTCTGGGCTCTTCCCAGGGAGCTATGAACCAAGCTCTCATCAAACCTGGGGCTCCACTTAGATCCAGTCACCAAACACAGTCCAGGCCCATGATGATGTGCGCTTTAGGATTGTTCATACTGTTTAGGTAATAAAAATGGCAGGAAAAATCATCATAGGAAATTTCAGGGGATTTCTTTAGGCACTCCCTTCTTCCTGCCCTGTGCACACCAGGGAAAAGATACGGGCAGAACAGGTTTGTAGCAATACGCAGAAATAGGGTAGGCAAAGACCACGCATCCAGCTGGGACGTGACAATAACAACTGTCCAAGAGTTTTGCCCAAATTCTGTCTGGAGGTACTAGCTGATGACAGGTGATGTCAGGCGTCAAGATTTCACAGCGCCTTTATGTCCTGCGGCTGCAGAGCAGGGTAGCACTATCTTCTAGAAGGATGAGGGTGCATTTCTCACCTACTTACCCACAGCTGAGGCACACAGAGGAGCATGTGAAATATTCATCTGGAAAGAAAGAGCTGTGAGCCATCTGGTCATCGGGGATCTCCCCACTGAACCGGTCACTTAGAGCCTGTCCAACAGAAAAGAATAAACTGGTAAGGGGCAGAGAGCAGTGCAGATGTTTTATGAAAACTTTTGCCAAGCAAAAGCATGAGAGGCAGAGAGAGCAGACAGCTAACAAGAAATGCTTTACTAACCTGGGAACCAAGACTCGGATTAGAAACCAAGCAAGACGACAGTCTTGCATTTGTATGGAAGTGACCTGAAGGCCTGTAAGATATACTCTTCTCCCCTCCTGCCCCATCTTTGAATTTCATAGCAGAAATGGGAGGTAGAAGATTGCTAAAAGGACTTTGCATTCTGGAAACCTCCAGAAGGAAACTCAGTCTCATTTCTCACAGTACATAAGGACACATTCTTTGCCCTTTAGCTCAGAAGGCACTGCCCTGCGCTCTCCTCTGGCCCCTGGAACAATTGTTCTGCTCTGGTGAAACTCCTCAACTGAAAGGGATTTGTTCCCTTTCCTGGGAGCATCTGTTCTGAGATTAAGCCAGTCCTTCGCCTTGGCACACTTAACTCTCTTGGTTCTTTTTGGTGTCACATAAAAAAAAAAACTAAGCACTGGAACAAAGCAGATGGTTAGGGTTTCCCCTGATAAAGATCCTTGATGGCATAAGGTCTAATTGAAACTCTTCCCACAGCTGTGCTAACTGTAGTAGCTGCGTTTCTCTTCCCCCTCTCCCCTCCCAGGGAGTATGTGGGGAGCATCTCTGCTGCCTAACAAGGGTTGACTGCATATACACACACAGACATACATATATCTCTCACCACAGCTTCTCTCAGATAAGGTCCCTATGTAGACATCTGATTTCACAGAATTTGAGGATCTTTAAGATCTCTTTCAAGCTTGACTGATACTGGGCAATGAATTCAAAAGTGAGAGGAGATGGACACAGATCCAAGCCGTGTGTCCTCAGGAAGCCAAGCAATTCTGTAGTCCGTGGCGATCTGAACACAGCAACTACTTTCCTGGACATGAATTTAAGTATATTAGCAGCTATATCTGAAACTGCATTACCTGATTATTGCAATAAAGCCCGAGGAATCAAACTGGAAATAACCACTCCAGTTGTTTTCTCCTTGCTGCCTGTCTGCTCCCTAATGCAAGGAAATGCGTACATGCCACCCTGACACTTCCTTCTGTGCTTCAGCTACCCCAAACACAGAGCAGCTGGAATTATCTGTTCCAACAGCTGTGACTAAGCTCAGACAAGAGTGCTAACACTACCTTCTGCTGCAGATAGGCTCCAGCTCTGCCCGTCCCTCCCCAGTGACAGCTGTGCTCTTTGGGCCAATGAAAATAAGATGCTAATCAGGTAGTGGTAGCAATGTGTGCAAACTTGTAGGACAGACTGCAAATCTGAAGACCCAAAAATCCCTCTGACATCCTGGCAAGGTGAACCTTCTAAGAAAATCACCAGCTGCTCTCTCCAATTGCTTTTCACCAGTCTTCTGATCTGATGCTGCACCTCTGAAACCATCATTTGGCTTGATCCCATCTTGTTTCTTAGCTACCAACACATCTCCTTCCTCCTTTTTGTCTCCTAGCCCTTGGGTTGCACTACGCTCGGTGCTAAGTTTTGCCAACCATTAACTCCCTCCAAGTCTCTTGCATTCCCTCTCCTTGTACTGAGGCCATCCTTAGGAACTTCACCAGTAACCCCTTCTGGGCTCCCCTTTGTAAATCACTGGCGTTGAGTTCTTGTCACTCACATCAGTTATTTTTCTCTTCCCCAGTCAGTTTCTTCCTGACTTAGTTTTTTGATTTTGTTCTGGTTTGCTCTTAAAATTTTCCTGATCTTTCAGGGTCTTTGCTAAGGTGTTTGTTTTAAAGTAAAAAAATAAATACTCACCCTACCGGCTGTTACACAAAAATCATCATCTTCATGGAAGACTTGCTTTATCTCCAGATATTTGCAAGTCTGCGTCAGTGGTTTACATGCTCTACCTTTATTAGCTGCAACTGACAGTTACAAGCAACAGCAATACAAAAAAATATTGTGAGGAACTCATCTCCACTTACTTTCAGTGCTTTGTAGATAACACCAGGCTGTCTAGGTGACCGAGTAGTATTGTTCTCCAGCTGCTGCTCCACAGCTCGCCTAAGTCCAGAGAAATCTGTTGGAGGATTGTATGTCCTTGTTCCCTTGTAGTGGATTGAGCTGAAAGCCTCAGGAAAACAGCTTAGCTTCCGAAACCGATCCTGAATGAGCTTCTCGGGAACCTCAGAAGGATGATCTATATATAAGAGTACCAGCAAGTATATAAACAACTGATTGTTTAAAGTAACACTTAAATTGCACAGTGCTTTCAAACCTTCTAACACATCTAGAATGCACTTGTTATATTTTACAAGAAGGAACAGAAACAAACAGTTTTCAAAAGCAGTCACTGTTTCTTGATACACAGCTTTAGATTCTAAGACCAAGTTCCTCTGGTAAAACCAGAACTACCTAGGTTTGGAAACACAGACATCAAGAATAAGCAGCAATTTCTGACATAATATAAGGAAACTCCACGTCAGCACACTTGTGAGCTCTGCTCAGCAGACCATAACTTGGTATAGCTAGTCCTAACACCCGCTATTGGGAGGACATGAACCTTACAGGGGCTGCTTATTCTCCATGACAACTCTGTAGCAAGGAAAACCGAGCCTCTGTCAACCCTTTGGACCCGGTGAAGCCTCATGAGGCGAGACTCCACAGGGCTGACCACATTCTTCTGCCCACTCCCAGGTACCGGCTGTACATTTCATAATAAGGCAGGCCCCTTCTTCCCTGCCCTAAAACTACATAAACACATTTATCTCAATTATACATCGAGACAGATGGTTGCAGCTTGTTGCAAATCCAAATGCTGAGAAGTTTCTTTTATTCCTACCGTGATCAGGTGTGATCATAAAAATACCATATTTTTACTACCCTGACTTTGCACAGAGGTGCAGCTATCATTACGGGTCACCAAATCCGACCTGCTGAAACAGCACCTTTCAACCACTGTATGAAATTCTGCACTGCTGATCAGCCAATCGGTATGTGAGCAAAGGAACTGCCTCGGCAGGTAAGTTAAACTCTAATAAATACACATAAAGAATGCCAAGTTATTCCACTAGCTCAAGACTTCACTGGTTAGAAAAGCCAAAATGAGAATGGGGGCCAGCAGGGAACTGCTGGGAACTCCCAGACAGCAGGGTACAGCCAATTCATCAGGGCTCTTGCTCTTCAGAGCATCAGAAGTGGACAGAATGAAGAAAGGTTTCATGATGACTTTGGAAACATGGGAAAAATAGGGCCAGGAGAAGAAATTTACATCCTTGTGTAGTCAAAACCAAAATGTGCCACAGCTTCCACAGGACAGTGCATTTCACTCGGACACACAAATAAAATACACAATTTGAATACACATAATCCAGTGCGACACAAGCCAAGTTAAAAGTACTGGTGAAGAACGCTGAAAGTGGTGAGAATAACAGTGTGCCAGGCCTGCTGCCTTGGCCATATCAACTGCTTGCACAGAGAAAAGCAGTGTCAAACCATCAGCCCTGTGATGCCACAACCTCAGTCCCAACCTCCCAAGGACACTGGTCCACAGAATTTAAAAAAGTAGAGTGAGGGTACTGCGAATATTGAAGTTCATCAATTTCGTTATTCTTGCTCATCCTACTTTCTACACAGAGTTTTATTTTAGTTTTTTGCAACAGGATCCTCCATATCCCTGCCAAAAATCCCAGGGTGTCTCAGTGTCTCAGTTTTCACCTTCATCTGCCACGTTACCCCTACTCATGATTTTGTAGAACAACCGCTCCTAGGGCTGGCAGAACTCCCACCGTGACTGGCCAGTGCCAATGCCCAGCTGGCTAAGAGGATTATTCTAGCTGATCCGGGGTAGTCAGATCGCCATCAGGGAACGCTCTGCTACTTCCATAGCCTGGCTCCCAGAGTGGAACAAGCGAGAGCAAAACCCAAACCACATCATTTACATGCTAGTAAAGAAGCTGAATATTCAACGCAACCTGATAGTTTATAGAGCACGTTTAGCACATTGTAATGCAGTTTCTTTCTGCCTACTCACCAGAGCCCAGTAGCTTGGTGTACACAGTCTCATGAAAGATGATGACACCCGGACCCAAAGTTGAGAGAGGAACATCTAGGCCACAGCGGGCTGTGGTAGCTTTTAGCTCCTTGGTGAAATGTTTTAAATAAGCCTCCGAGGCATCACCAAGAAATTTGAAGAGATCATTGTGCAGCCTGTCAGCACGAGTACGGTAGATGACAAGGTCAGAGATGGCCAGGACCTTCAGCAGCAGCCGTGTTCTCTGGCTCAAGTTCACCGTGGCCCCCAGAAGGCCCTCTGTATCAATTACCACCACTTTGCGGACAGGGTCATAGGCTGCCCAGACTCCAACCGTGCAAGACTCTTGGGCTGGAGACGTCTTGAAGACTTCCCGGCCATAGAAGAAAGTGTGGTTAAGGGTGTGAGACTTGCCATCCCCTGTGTTCCCAAAGATGGACACTACTTTTAGATGCTGGTCAGGACTGCAGTCCAGTTTCTTAATAAAGTCTTCTTCATTCCTTACCTTCCAAAAAAAAAAAAA